AATCCGAATCAGAGGTTGTCTATTCTGATCCAGCGATCCGAACCGGCGTGTCTCAGTCGAATCACCTAAAAGGAACCAAGTGAAACCAACACAAGCAATGCGAACCAAGACTATCCACAAAACATGACCTTGAAAACGATTCTTCTTCCAAACTACTTGGCCGTGTGCATGTTTTCCTTTTCAGATCTTTTTTTCGACCGTCTCGAGGGATTGCGACACGCACCAGGTATTCTTTTTCACACACAGAAGGCTTCAAAGCGACCGAAGAATTTCTAGATCTGGCTTGATTTGTCGTTTTTTCTCCAAACTGTTTGAAATGTAAGACCCAGAATGACATCGAACAACAATACCCTGCTCAATCAGATTTGTGGGTGCATTGGAGTTGCGCATTTTGCTGGGAGAGTTTGTTGCTGTTGATTTCAAGCGAAGTCGTTTTACAATGAAATGGAACGAATCCGAATCAGAGGTTGTCTATTCTGATCCAGCGATCGACATGTCTCAGTCCAATGGTTGTCTATTCTGATCCAGCGACCTACTACCTACTACCTACTACGTACCACCTACTACCTACTACAGGGGGCTCGTGGACGCATGGATGGCACGAGCCAACGAAGACCCATCCATGTCGTCGTGATACCAGACCTGATCAGTCTGGCGTACCTGCGTCGAACACACTGACGCTAATGGTCCACCCTCCGCTGTTTCTTGTTTCCATGGTGTTTCCCTCATGATACTTTCCCAGCAAAACAGGTTTTTCTCCGCCGTTCTGCAGCTGCTGATGTGCGTGAGTTTTCGAACAGATGTTCAAACACTTCAAGTGATGTTGCTGACTCAGCCGCCGTGCGTTTCCCTCATCCATTTCACTGTGGATTATGACTGACTGCAAACCCTGTGACTAAGTGTGTGTCGCTGTGTCGTCCCACTGCGTGCACAGTGTGAATCAGTGTTTATCTTTCCTGGACTATCTTTGATTGAAATGATGTTTCACCCATGAACTTTCTGATCGCAAAGCGGCCGCGCTTACGGAGTCTCGCATTGATCCGCAGAAGTTCAGTTTCAAAGCTCGTTCACGTACCTTTCATGCAAGTGGTCACTGTACCTGTTCCATGTGCCATGTCTTCGATTGCCACGATTTTACAGGTTCTCACATACCCCACGTAGCTCCCCATCCGAATTTTTAAATGTTGATTCAATTTGATCTATCGTACCGCTTGATCTTACTTTTTTTGCACCGCTGCCTCATTGTGCCGCCGCCACCACTGCTGCTGACGCCAACAGCGAGTTGCCCAGTTGGGTAGCGCGCACTTCCCGTGGCCCTATCCATACACACCGCCAACAGATCCGCAGACCTTTCCAGTGGCGTCACTACCACAGCCCACGGCGGCTCCAATGCCACATCCTTTTACTACACACCACAACCCCGACCACACTGCTCCTCTCATCCCACAGCCGCTCTCACATCCTCACCACAACCAGCACCAGTCTCCACTTTTCCAGTCTCCTATTGCGTACCAGCCACCACTCTTGCATCCCCACAACCCACCAGCACCCCAGTACTGCTGCACCACAGCCGACGACTCTCACACGAGACCCGCAGGAAGGGGTCTGGCAACCACCCACCTGTCCGCCGGACAAAGCTCCAGCGTCCACTTCTCAGCCACAGCCAGCACTGCTTCCAAACCCACCTGACCACACTGGCCCTACCACCGATTCCACAGCCAAAACAACCGATCAAGCTACCACGGACAACCAACCATCAGCACCCTCACATGCACCACCGACGCCGACATCGGCGCCGACATCGATCTGGTCAGACAACACGCGCCGTCACCACACAAGACGTCGTTCTCGCCGACAACGCTCGGCTACCTCAACCAGGCGGCGGGATCGAACAACGTACTCTGTCTACATACTCCACATCTCGCTCGCGCTCCCGCAGCCGCACACCGCCACCCACCCACCGCCAAACTGAGATCGCCACTCAGTGACAACAAGTCCCCTACCCCAACACCCACCTATGCGACGCGTCCGCAACGCCTGGCGCGCGGCGCGCGCCGCCCAAATTCGACGAAAAGCCACAACAGAAGCAGATCGAGATCTGGCTCAACCACCACACACAACATCCCCCAAAATGCTTTCATCGCCAAACTCATCGTGGACAGTGGCTAGCTACAGCGACCTCTCCGTTTTCAAGAGTTCACACACACACATCAAATGGAACAACCTCACCGAATGTAACGACCTGCACCATTCCAACCACATCTCCATCCACTCCCTTGCCTCCAAAGCCCGCCAACGTTTTGCACCACGACCCACCCGAGCAACAAACGCCCACCTGAAGTGGCTCACATCGTTGGCGGCCACACAGGCCTCCTCGGCAACATCACCCAACTGCTCCAACAAGGACGTTTTCTTCCCAGCACTTTGCACTTTGCGCACAACCCTGGCCTTTTCGCCGAAGGCTTTAAGGCCACGCACACTTACCCCGCCGACTTTGTTGACACTGCCCGCGTCATCTTCAACAGAATCTACACAAGCAACAACACTCCATCCTTGTCACGCTCCTCGCATGGGGCACTGGCCACAAGATTACTCAAGGTGGCAAGGAACAAGCCGCCACCCTTCACCAACAAGGCCACGGGGCTGTGCCTCCGACGCAACACCACCAGCCCTCTAACTCTGCCATCCTACAACACTACACTGTCACACACCTTCCTTTGTCTCACCACACACCGGCTCCGCCACAGCAAAAAGCGAGCGCCCCGGATGCCGCAGCGCTGCGTTTGAATTCACCGACTTGCAGTTACCTTATATCACATTTTTTGAATCATCAACTGCCAGAAACCGCCTTAGTGGTTTTTCACCTGGAATGCTTTCATTTTGACCGGCGACGCCCATCGATTTCTCACTCGGAACGGATGCCACTTTACGCCATGTTTTACCTCATATCTAAGTCCTCCGACCTTGTTGGGCTCTGTTTAATTCATTGCACAATGTTCCGTTATGACCAATTCGACTGCATGTTTTCCACGTTACCTCCAGCGCCGCATGCCTGCAGCTGCCGCCAGCGCCGCTTATACCAACGATGATGAACCCCGACTTTCACAACCTCACAGCCGGCCTCAGACCTCCAGGATGCTCAGGTTGCCGTGTAGCGAGTGGCATTCAATTCGCATTATCTCGAGTGTGTGAAACCCTTGGAATCACAGAGAACCTGTTGGTTTTAGTTTAATTGCCGGGGCACTGAGCACCCCTTGGCAAACTCAGTGCAACGAGCTATGCCTTGGAGTGGGAAGCACGGATTAATCAGCCGTGTGTACCTGCGTTTAACAAGTGCGGCTTTCTGCAACCTTTCTCCTCTAGATGACTAGGCAGTTTGAGGTGTGCTCAAATATGTGTGCTCTGGAGAGCGGAGCTTCGCTTATTCACCCTTGCTTTGTCCAGTTTAACACTGCTTGGAGTCTCTTGCTAGGATAGTGTTTTATAAAAGTTGAAATGGGCCAAGCCATCTACCAGTCAGGGCTGCCCGCAGTGGCCGTTGAGTTGACGATGCCTGTGATTTACGCGAAGAAATCGCACTTGAGGTTCAACCGCTTTGTGAAATCGATGCCTTGGTTGGCGGTGCCGTTTCGAGACAATGCTGCCACCTTTGAGCGTTGCTTGGCGCTCCATGATGATCACCGCTTGCAGTTCAGCCAAAGGAGACCGAACCAGTGTAAACGCAACCGCTCGAAATGTTGGGCAGCATTTTCTGATTCCGTGGTTCAAAGAGATTTTTGCGTTTTCTGCGCTTGTCTGTCTAGCTTTCCCTTGCTTCTCTGCTTTTCTGTGCTTCTTTTTGCTTTTCCTTTTCCTGCTTTTCCTTGCTTGTGTTGCTTTTCCGTGCTTCTCACAGCTTCTTCGCTTTTCCTGCTTTTCTGCGCTTGTGTTGCTTCTTTGTGAATCCTCTTTTATTGTTTGCTTTTCACTTTTGCTGGTTTTTGCATCTTCTTTCTTGCTTGGTTGTTTTTCCGGCTCTTTCTCACAGCGTCCTTGCTTCCCTGCCTGTGTTTCTTTGCTTCTTTAACATTAGACCTAGATCAGCGCTCTGCTTCCCAAAGTGCACTCCTTGCATTTAACACAGGTTTTGGCCATCTCACAAAAGACGAATTAGATCAGCGAGGTTTACAAGGCGCAGCCAAGGTAAAGTTTAAAGAAGGAACAGGACCATCCCAACATATAGCCACCCCAGGTTGGGTGCTAAGCGCTACCAGGCTCTTGCCAGTTTCTCCTGGTTGGCTTTTTCCCTTCTTCTCGTCTTTTTGTAGTAGAATACAGTAGTGAGTTTCTTTCGCAATCTGTCTACGATCAGCGAGTTTGCAAAGCGCCGTGCATTTCCTGTGAGCCACCCGAGGTTGGATGCTAAGGGCTACCAGGCTTTTGCAAGTTTCTCCTGGTTGGTGTTTTTCCCTTCTTCTTGTCTTTTTGTAGCGTATTGAGTCTCGTAGCGCTGCCACGGTAAAAATTCTACAAGGAGAGGGACAATGCCAACATAGTACATCTTCTGTGAGCTACCCGAGATAAAATTTAGAGGAGGAAGGTGCCATTTCAAGGCGCAGACCTGTTGTGAACCACCCGACGGCAAAGTTTAGAGGAGGAAGGTGCCATTCCAACGGCGCACCTTTTTTGTGAGCTACTCTGGAATAGAATTTAGAGGAGGAAAGTGCCAGTCCAACGCTGCATACCTTTTGTGAGCCACTCGAGAGTAAAATTTGGAGGAGGAAGGTACCAGTCCAATGGTGCATACCTTTTGTGAGCCGGTGACATGCCTGTGCGCGCAAGTGATGAGTCATGCGTGTGCAAGTGAGGTAACTTTTGCGTGTGCAAGTGCCGGTGCACAAGTGAGACCTCACTGCGGACGCAAATGGCCACCAGGCTTTGGCCATCTCGCAACAGATTTGAACGCTTAGATCGGCGAGGTTTACAAAGCGGCATAAAGATGCTAAGGGCTACCAGGCTTTTGCCATCTGACATGAGACCTAGATCAGCGCTCCGTGCTTCCCATAGCGCGCTCCGAGGTTCACATAACGCTGCTCCAGGAAATCTGCATTTCGAGCTATACAAGCGCCAAAAAGCAACAACAATAGACCCGCAAAACGAAAAGCAAATCCAAAGTTGATCCCGGGGCCATTGCTAGACCAAGTTTTTTGCAGAATGAAAACGTTTAACGGTTTGTAGGACTGTCTTTCTTCCGCTCGCTTTTCCTAGGCTAATTACTACTATATACTGCTGCGCACCTTCCCTTGATTGTATTCTGTCAAGTGTGAAGGGGTAACTCTGCACTTGATGGCTTGTGCGCATTCTCATTTCAGTTGTGTTTCCACTTGCTGTCATATTTTCACGCGTCACACACCAACACAAGTTCTGTGGGGCATGTGTCTGACACAGCCAGCAAATTAAATTAGACAAACGAGTGTAGGGAAGCCCGCGAAATGAATGCTGCTTGATAAACCACTTTTTGACGAAATCTGCACTTCAAGGTCCACAAAGCACTGCGCCTGCCGCGAAATTCTGCACTTCAAGGTCCGCAAAGTACTGCACCTGCTTGAAAACGAACCACATGTCCAAAAGGCGTGATTCATTCACCTGCCACGAAATCAGAGCACCACCCACCACCATGCCCAAAGCACTGCGGCTGCCGCAAATTGCGCGACGACATCAAATGATCTCCTGCGCCTCGCACGAAAAGTCGACTTTAGACCACCAAAACACGAGGTTTTCCTTGCGCCTGCCACGAAAAGTGATCACCAAGTCCAAAAATGCACACGGCGCCACAACGAGAGCGCGTCTCCACCAAGCACCGTCCCGCAGCCAGCGTTTTTCGTGGGACCCTGCCTGCGCAGAGAAATTTCATTTGGAGATCTCAGAACGGAACTTTTCTGCGAGCCTGCGCAGCCAAAACGCACGCTCAGAGTACCCTGATCGAACCTGTGCTTTTACACCTACCTCAAAACGCCCTGGGCGCCGACACACTGATTGGGGAAAAAACCAGCAGTGAGTAAAAAATATATTGTAAGAGGAAAATTGATTTTATTCCCGAGAGCGTCTGCGAAGGGTTCTTCGTAAAAAAACATCTGCAGAACTATATACGTCTCATCTACATCTTCACCTCTGCACGTCTACATTCTCACCTATATCTCTGCTCATCTTCACATCTACATTCGCATCTGCACATCTACATCTCGGCTCATCTTCACATCCTCACATCTTCACATCTACATTCACATCTGCTCATCTACATCTCGGCTCGTCTTCACATCCTCACATCTACATCTCTGCTCATCTTCACCTTCACACATCTACATCTCTGCTCATGTTCACATCTGCACATCTACATCTCTGCTCATCTTCACATCCTCACATCATCTCTGCTCATCTTCACATTCTCACATCTACATCTCACATCTGCACCTCTCGCTCTTCTTTACTTTCTCTCTCAAGGCCGGGGGCGGTGCCGCCGGAGCACCACGAAACGCAACCCTCTGCGGAGATCGTGCGCGTCGAGGGCGCGAAATGCAGGCGAGAGCGCGTTTTGTCTCTGTCGACCCGGCGCAACCCTCTGCGGAGATCGCGCGTGTCGAGCGCGCGAAATGCAGGCGAGAGTGCGATTTGTCTCTGTCTTGCAACCCTCTGTGCGGAGATCGTGCGTGTCGAGGGCGCGAAACGCAGGCGAGAGTGCGTTTGGATCCGGTCCGGCGCAACCCTCTGCGGAGATCGTGCGTGTCGAGAGCGCAAAGCGCAGGCGACAGCGAGTTTTGGCCCGGTCGGGTGCAACCCTCTGCGGAGATCGTGCGTGTCGTGGGCGCGAAATGCAGGCGAGAGTGCGTTTTGGTCCGGTCCGGCGCAACCCTCTGCGGAGATCGTGCGCGTTGAGGGCGCGAAATGCAAGCGAGAGTGCGTTTTGGATTTTGCGCGCGCAACCCTCTGCGGAGATCGTGCGTGTCGAGGGCACGAAATGCATGGCTAGAGCGCGTTTTGGCCCGGTCCGGCGCAACCCTCTGCGGAGATCGCGCACGTCGACTTTGTAGTACAACTTTAGTGCGCGGAGCAATCTGTGGAGCTGGAAGCTGAGAACTGGCGACTTTGTAGTACAACTTTAGTACGCGGAGTATCTGGGGAGCTGGAAGATGAGAACTGGCGACTTTCTAGCGCAACTTTAGTGCAGGGAAATGCCAAAGTCGTCGCGTTGTTTTGGACAATGTTGCAATTAGCTTGGGAAGAACATACCAGGAAAGTTGTCACGTTTTGTAGTTCACCAGCGAACTGCAAGATCTTTTGGGAACCTTGTTTTGTTAAAGGTTTGGTGCGCTTGATGCAATTCCATGCAGTTCTGGCACTCTCTACTGTGAGTGTGCGTTATGCTTTCGTTGCAATTCCTTTGTGGATTCAGGGTCCTATGATGTTTCGGACCATCATCACACATCATGATCACATCATGAGTGTTCCAAAGACATTGCCGTGTAGAGTGGACAATTTTTGACAGACGGCCAAAATATATATAATGCGTGCGCTGTTTGGCTGAAAAACGCTTGCAGTCACCATGTCTGACACTGAGAGTGTCCACACACCTTGTGCGAAGAGAGCTCGTGTGGAAGCAATCGAGCACACTCCAGAGGGGGCTCAGCACCTTGGTGTTGCCTTGGGGGCTCTGTATACAAAAAATGCACAGAAGCTGCGACCATCGCAGATGAGAATTTCGTAGCTTCAAGTTTCAAAAGACAACCGAACAGGATGAACACACACACAGACATTCCTGGAAAGGTACGTAATGCTTCTTTGTTGTTGCTTTGTTCTGCATCCTATGCATTGTTTCTCTCCAGCTGGCTCTCCTCTGTTGCTCCAGCTGTGCTCGGTGCTGTTGATGTTTATCTTTTCGGAATCTTGTTGATCGTAATCCCTGTTCAGGCACCACATCGTGGAGGTCCAGATCTCGGTGAAGCCCCAGAAACTCGGCAAGGTTTCATCCCTTGGCTGCCGCTGCTGCTGATGCTGCTGGTTTTGTTGCTGTTGCGTTCTCTTGTTTGTTTGTTGTTGTGCCTGGTTCCTGGACCCTAGCAGAAACACAACCTAGTGGGAGTCCTGGTAGGTCATCTCCAACTTGTATTGGCCCATCCTGTCGTGAACATAGCCACACATACAGATATACGCTCAGAGTCCTTCTATATAAACACCTTGCATAATGACAGGCCTTAGAGACAACATGTCGGAAAGATAGATCCCTTTTTGGTGGTTTTTCTTCCTTCTACTACCATTGCTACTACCCCTCTACCTACATACTACTACCTCTATACTACTACCTCTATACTACTTCTACTACTACTACTACTACTGCTACTGCTACTGCTACTACTACTACTACTACTACTACTACTACTACTTATACGAACACCTGAGACCGATATGGCCACCCAAGTACATGTAGAGAGATGCCACAGCCTGAGAACCGATAGGGCCCACCTAACTCATCGCAGGGCCAATGTGACAGACTGATTCAGAAAGTTTTTTATGTGGAATCTGTTGACACAAGATGGGTGTGGGCATGCTCGATCCACCGCTCTAGGTTTCAGATGTGAAGACGCTTGTGAAAAAACTTCGCCAAGACTATGCGGGTGAGCTGCTGTGTTTAGAGCGCGTGACGTTGCTATCAGGTTATACAGGCACTGCCCAAGGTGAGTGCCCTGAGGTTGCTAGAACCTCTTGGCTTTGTCTTCGCCGCAAACACACTTGTGGCTGGGTTTGCAGCAGTTCGAAAGCTGGCCGTGTAGCGTGTGCAAGTTCTTGCTTTTGCTGCGTGAAAGCTTCGAAGCTTTTGAAAATTTCACGCTCGAAGCATGCTTTGACCAAAGCAGGCCTGAAGCCTGCAGTCTTGTCTCTTTCTTGCAAGATACAGGAGGCATCCAAAGAGGATACTTGCAGTTGCTTCCAGTGCCAGAAAGGCCATTAGGTGTAAAGCTTCAGCCTTACCGCTGAAATGGGGTCGCGGCAGGGAAAAGAACAGAAGAAGTCCACATTCAACTGTTGTCTCCAAGGAGGACATCGGCCTTCAGACACTGCCAGGTTGACTCTACAACTTATCTGTTTCCTAAACATCGTAAAATTTTAGCCCTTAAAAAACCACGGGCAATAGTGCATGGGTGTCCGGAGGGGCTCGTGCCAATGGACATGAAACAGACGCATGCACGGACGTGCGCACGGACGTGCGCACGGACGTGCGTACGCACGGACGGACGTGCGCACGTACAAATGGACGTGCGGATGAACGGGAAAATGGACGTGCTGAGATGCCCCTTTTTGAATCAACATGCAGTTCTCTCTCTCTCTCTCTATATCCAAAAAAAAGGAGGAAAGTTGCAGCAGCAAACTAACAACCTCACACAGCCGCTACCTTTTCTTCCGTCACAAAGCTTTCTTGTAACGTGGGGACGGCCAGCTTTAGTCCAACTGGTCTAAGGACCACAAGACCAAACGGCAAGTTCGATTCTGATGAACGAATGATTAACTCTTGCAGTCCCCTGTTTTGACTGACAAGATCTCACTTCACACTTCACAAAAGCAGGGTGCGCCGCGGTTGTTCAAACGCGTTGCACTGGCTCAAACACTATTGGCTTGTCTCAATGGGAAAAAATCGAGACGATGTCATTGATCCCGGAAGTTTCCTCGTCTTCACTCTCTGAAGCCATTCTCAGGGAGCACATGATGGACATCAGAACAGCGATCAGAACATTGGATGCAAACCTTGGTTCAAAAGGAACAAGAGTCTCGATGGTCTAGTATATGGTACTTTTTATCTTTGGGGCTTAAGGCGGCGATACATTATGATTCTACGAAAAATCACGGACTTGATATAAAATACAAACTTGAATAGAATAATATAGACTATAGACTATAGACTATAGACTAGACTAGTGGCTGCTGACATGTACTCTTGAGCTTCCGCACCACCAGTCTCCATTGGAGCTTTCAAGGACATGTCTCCATCTCCATTGGACTTGGCGTCCCCCTTCTTTGTCTCCTCAGACTCCTCAATCTTTTCTGCACCCGTGGGAGGTTTCATGGAGGCATCGGCGGCATCGGCATCTGTCTGAGTCGCAGCTGAGGTTTCAGCATCCGCGGAGGCATCTTGTTTGGCTTCCATGGAGGCATCTGTCTGGGTCATTTGAGTGGGTGCAACTGAAGCCTCAGCCTCAGCATCCATGGAGGCGTCTTTGTTTGTTTCGACAGTGGCTGCCATGGAGGCATCTGCCTGAGTCATTTGAGTAGGTGCAACTGAAGCCTCAGCCTCAGCATCCATGGAGGTGTCTTTGTTTGTTTCGACAATGGCTTCCATGGAGGCGTCTGCCTGAGTCATTTGAGTAGGTGCAACTGAAGCTGCACCACTCACACAGGCGTCGCTTTTGGTCTCCTCAGATTCTGCTGCCTTGGGGACTGGTTCGTTTGGCTCTTCGACCTTGGGAGATACCAAAGACTCAGATTCAAGAGAAAGACCTCTATCATGCAGCCACTTTTCAAACTTGTCGACGGTCTCTTTGGGATTGAAAGCCCACCAAGTCTTTCTCCCAATATTTGTAGTTGCTTGCATAAAGGCTCCCGCTTTGGGATGAGCGATGGCCTTTTGCGCGCGCTGCCACTGTCGTTCAAACCAAGCTGAGGATCTGTTGCCATAGGATGACCAAGACTCTTTGAGACACGTGGCTTTCCATGCCTCATAACTCTCAAAAGGCTTTGGCTGAGGGGTAGGAGCCCCGAGCGCTGCAAGTACATTGCTTTTCTTTTCTGCAGCGGCACTGTCCAAGGGTCCACCCTTGCGCTTGGTCATGTTCAATTGAAACAGCCCCTTGAGAGATGTTTGTTTGAGCCAATCTTTTCAAACATAAACGGAGCCAGGAGGATGATGTAGACTGCATGCAACGTGCATCAGTGACTTCAGTATACAGTATCAACAGTATAGTATAGTATCAGTATCAGTAATAGTAATATATTTACACAAATTTACATTACTATACATCACTTGTAAAGGAGAAGTGCTGCCAATTGTACTGGTTTTATTCCGTCACGTTTATCTTGCTTTTCGGTGAAGTAAAGCAAACTGGCCAGTATGCTTCTTAGAAGCAGCAAGGGATAGGGGTGTTTGCAGCCTTGTGCTATTGTATGATTTCCAAAGAATCACACTACTCAGATCTCCACAAGCAGAAAATAGAAAGCATCAAATCAAATCACCTGAAACGAAACCAAGTGGATAAACCCTGATTGATTAAATATTGTCAGCTGCTGAGATCTGAACCCCGGGAAAAGAATGCAAGGCCAAATAAAGTCAGTATTGGTATCCCAAGCTGCTTTTGTAGTAGACTTGGGGGTGCTTTTGGTAGACAAAATGTCCCGCACCGATTCTGGTATTCAAAAAGACTCACCTTGATCGGGAACGTTTTCGAGTGTCGTTGTTGGCAGCCTTCTCAATCTTCTTCCCAAGTTCCTCCAAACGTTGTCTCACACGTTTGTCTACATCGAGTCCTTCTCCAAAGTGAAGGGTCTTGCTGATGCTGTCCTTGAGGTGCGGGCTCAAAGCCTTGGCTGGCTTGGAAAGTAAGATCCGCAGGCTCGTTGTGGTCCAGCAAACACCAAGAAGGCGTGCCACCTCCTTCTGAGTGCTCTCGAAAGAAGGGAGAAGACGGTTCAAAGGCATGCCCAGAGTTTTTGCGCAAGCCTTTGCAGAGTCCAGATGAGTCTCCAAGTGCTTCACTGCCATGGACAGGTTGGTGTGCAAGTTGTTTGCAGTCATGGCATTGACAAAGTCTTGTTCTGTCTCTTCTTTCAGCTCTGGGAAAGGCTCAAATGCATGACACTTTGTCAACAAAGAGTCCGATTGTGAGCGACATGCCGCTACCGTCTTCTCTGTGATGGTGTTCATTCTGTCCAAAAGGGTCTCCTCAAACGGTTGGTTGGTTCATACCAGCTATTACATAATATCAATATCATTATTATTTCAATGACTGATGATGACTCTGACAAAATGTAAGAAAATTGATCAACAGATAAGTTATATGATATGATATGTATGTTACGTTAATGTTTCAATAAAACTGTATCATAAACCAGACCATACGAATCAACACATGAGTTGAAACATTGAGCTGAGTATCGATGAAGCTCCCAAAGCTGACTTCGGACGTTGAGAAAGCATCCTGAGAACAGCTTGACTCGCTCTCCTTTGATGCTACCACAGCCACCATATCGCTGCTGAATGTCCTTGGTCCATAACTGTGTTTTCTTCCCTCTGTACTGTTGCCTGTGCCTTAGCCTATGCTGAAAAGGGGTGCATTACTGTATTACTCTGTGCAGTCGGTATATTCTTGAACAGGGCAAGAAACTGGATGACATCCTTGGAAATCTCAAGCCGTTCATCCGTGAGGTGTTCGTGGATAGTCAGCTTGAAATGCTTGAACATTCGAAACAAGGTATAGGCGGCTGAGGTGGCTGAGTCCGAGGATTCACCACTGTAAGAACACTGCGCTTCGGCATAGTCCACAATGAAGCTCAGAAATTCAGCTGCTTGGTGTAGGTTAGCTGAGCCGGCTTCCAACCCTGTTCCCAAAAGCATTGCATCAGCCACTGCGGTCTTTGCTGTCGCAAGTAATTTCTTCACATCTTCCTCTGACATTTGGAGTTCTCCGCTCTGCATGAGAGTTGAGAGGATCTTGAGGGGAACTGCCATGCAACTTTTCCATACCTGGGAACATGCTGCTGCAACAAGGCCATGCATGCAGCTGGAAAATGCATCGGTGGCACAGGAGACAGAAGGGACTGAGCAATGCAATTTGACTGTGGCCTCCTTCCATGCCTTGAAATTTCTGCATAGGCAAACTGTTGCTTCCCTCTGCTTTGCCTTCTCATCTGGCGGCGTGCGCAGGATAGCTTCAGTATCTTTGGACAACTCCGCACATGTGGTGTAGAAGGTCTCCAAATCAGTCAAGGACTTGATGACAACCACACCCTCTTCCCCAAAAGTACTGCATGCAAGAGCTTGCTTGAGGTTGATCAGTGAACACGCTGGTGGTTTGGTCATAATCTTGGATGCACTGAGAGTCTTAGCCTGTGTTCCAACCCAAGATACAAGCTCTGTCTCGCAGTAAGATTTCAAGGTGTGTTTGAGAAGCCGGAGGATTGAAGACTTGGTCAATGTCACTTGCCTTTTCACTGCTTCATCGTCACCCTTGTCTTTGAAGGTCGGCAAAGCAGCCTTGTAGCTGGACATCACGGATGCAATGTTCTTCATAGTTTCTTCTGAAGAGAGACTTGCAATGGTAGATTCAAAGACCGTGCATTCTTCCACTACTTTCTCCAACTTCTTGCAAATTGCTTGGATATGACCCCTAGATTGGCAGGCCATGTCGCAAAGGCTAGACAAGCGCTTTCCTTGTGGGATAGACTTGAAGGCAAAGAGAATGGGATCCTCGGCAGAAGCTTTTGAAACCTCCTCTACACTTTGCAGCAACTCATCAGGGCTCGATGAGTTTCCATTCACCAGGACCAAGACAACCTTGAACTCATCCTGCAGATTGATGTCTTCGGTGGAGTCAGAATACTTCTGTGCCATACAGTCCACGAACCCACGCAAAGGCTCCATGTCATCACTTGTCTCCAGGGTGACCTTTTTGCAATCAGGCAAGGACAAGGGAAAGGACACAGTCTCACAAGCAGCCACAAAACAACAGAAAATGTACAAAGCACTTCATACAAGCCGCCTTTTCAAGAGGGATTCCTTTGAGAAGCTTCTGCAGTATTACTGACATTTGCTGTCTCATAAAAGTGGCTATTGAAAAGGACTCTGAACTGGTATGATTCTTTGCCACAAACTCTTTGGATTCGCCCAGCATTGAGGTCCAGCGCTTGTACTTCATGTCGTCCAGCAGCAAGTAGCGACCAATGCGCATGATCACCTCATCTCCC